TTTCCTTATCTGTGACACGGAATGATGATGGATGGATGGATGGGTCTCCTGGAGGTTTCTGTGACATTAGATGAATTGGTCTAATTGTGTGTTGCTTAGCAGTGTGGATAGTTCTGAACGAGGCATCATTGGGCAACTTTGTCATTGTGTAGACATTATGGAGTGTACATACACAAACTAGGATAACTATATCACCAGGTGATATAATTCCATGAAGACATTCTTTTACATATGGTCCATCGTTGGCCAAAATATTGATATGTGTTAAACAGCTGCATATGTGTGGCCTCCCATTATCTCCAGGCTTCCATGGTGTCTGAGAAAAAAAATATCCTGTTTATCTTACTAAGAATTTCACGAAGGGTTGCAAAGATGGCTCTGTGGTTAAGAGCACTTGCTGCTCTTCCAAAGAACCCAGGTTCAATTCCCAGAACCCATATGTTAACCCCAAGATCTGACACCCTCACAAGACACACATGCAGATGAAACACCAATGCACATAAAATCATAATAATATCATGTGTATGATAAATGGCTGTGCTGGTCAGCTTTTTTCAACTTGACACAAGCTAGAGTCACCTAGGAAGGGGGATCTTGACTGAGAAACTGCCTCCTTCAGAGTGGCATGTGCACATGTGTGTGGGGCATCATCCTTAAAATTATTTCATGTGTATGAATGTGTGCACGAGTGTATATGTGCACACCATGTCCACACAATGCCAGAAGAGGCCCGGAGAGAGCAACAGAGTCTCTGGAACGGGAGTTAAAGGCAGTTGTGAGCTGCCGTGTGAATGTCGGCAACCAAAGTTGGGTCTTCGGCAAGAGCAGTAAGTTCTCTTAACCAAAGGCTCCAGGAGAACTTTCTTGATTAATGTTGGGTGTGGCGTGGCACAGTCTACTGTGGGGAGTCCACCCTGGGCACGTGGTCCTGGGCTGCATGGGAAGACAAGCCGAGAAAGCCATGGAAAACGAGTCAGCAAACAGCGTTCTACTTTCCCGTGGCGTCTGTTCAGTTCCTGAGTTCCTGCTTCTGTGTTGCTGCCCTGGCAGGAGACACCATAACCAGAAGCTGAAATAAACCCTTTCTTCCCCGAGTTGTTTTTGGTCAGTGTTTTTTGTAGTAGCAGAGAAGCAACCCGAGGCAGTTCCTAATCTCAGCTTCATTTTCTGGTGCCTTGGTAATTGTGTGGGCTCACAGTTCCAGGTTCATAGTAGGCAAGTTGAAAAAGCAGGAATTTGGAAAAGCACATCACATCCACCGTCAAGAGCAGAGAGCAATAAAGTAGTGCATCTTTCATAGGCATGCCACACACCAAACCAGTGTAGATAATTCCTCACTGAGACTCTCTCTCAGGTGATTCTAAATTGTGTCAAGTTGACAAATGAGCCATCATAATCGTGTCTTGCTTTCTGTTTTTAGCATTCTTGGTATCTTTCACCAGTTTGGATATGGTGTATGTAGGTATGGATTTCTTCAAGTTTATACTACCTAGAAATCATTGGACTTCATGGATTTGTAGATTCATGTTTTTCATCTTTTAGCCATTATCCTTCCCAAATAGTTTTCCCTCCGTTCTCTCTCTCTGTTGTTCTGGACATGCCCATGATATATATGATGGTGTCCCACACGTGTCTGAACCGTTGGCCTTTTTTTCTCATGCTTGTTACAGTGCTTGGAGAATCTCAATTAGCATTTTTAAAAGTTCATAGGATTTTTCACTTGCCTGATCAGACTGGCCTTTCTACTTTAATTACTGCCCTTTTCAAAAGGAATTCTATTTGATGTTTTAAAACTAATTTCTGCCTCTTGATTGGTATCTATTTCTGGAGGCTCCTCCTCCTCTTCCATTCTTAGATAAGACTTCTTTCAGTTCTCAGAATACATTCGAAACTGCTGATTTAAAGACTTTGTCTAGCTGGGGCTGGTGAGGCAGCTTAGCAGGTTCTGGCCAGCAACCTGAGTGTGGTCTCCAGATCCCACATGGTGGAAGCAGAGAACCGACTCCCTCGAGTCATCCTCTGACATGCCCCCAGAAACAGACAAACAAATAAACGTGATGAAGTCTTTGTTCACGTCAAAACATCCCAAAGGCTCGTTCTAGCTACTCTCGTTTGTGGCTTTCCTCTTCATATATCACCCATGTCACCTTAGTTCTCCACATAGCTTGTTTTCTGTTTTGTTTTTGTTTGTTTGCTTTGAGACAGGGTCTCCCTAATGTCGTCTTGACTGGTCTGAAACTCCCTATGAAGATCAGGCTGGCCTCAAAGACACAGACATCCACCTGACTCTACCTCCCCAGTGTGGGATCAAAGGTGCATGCCAACACGCCCTTCTTAATGGCTTTAAACATACACACCACATGGCAACTTGGGAAACCTGGTTCTCCTTGAGGCTTGTTTTTGTTCTGTGTTTGAGATAATATTGTGACACCTATAAGAACATGAAACCTCTGTTCTATTAGTTTGTTGAGCATCATTTAACAGAGATGTCCTAACATGCATGGAACCAGTTCATTCCCCAGTCACAGCTTTGCAATTTTGCAAAATGACCAAAAAAAAAAAAAAAAAAAAAAAAATCAGATAATGACAGGACAGGACAGGGACTCTGCAAGAGGCCCAACCCTGTTCTGTCTCCTCTAGTGTCAGCCAGCCAGTTCTTGGTTTTGCTTTGTTTTACTGAGATAGTAGTTTTCATGCACACAACAGAAAGGAGGAAATTAGAATTAAAGCATCCTAAAACTCACTGTTTTGATGGGTGGGGGTGATGCACGCCTTAAATCCAGCACTCAGGAAGCAGAGGTAGGTGGATCTCTGTGAGTTCAAGGTTGCCTGGTCTACAGAGAAAGTTCCAGGACAGCCAGGGTACACGAAGAAACCCTATCTTGAAAAAGCCAATTAACCAACCAACCAACCAACCAACCAACCAACCAAATCACTTTCTCCAAAGTCTCCTGCTTTGCTTGTTATAATAAGTGCTTGCCAGCCTGCTGTAAGATTTAAGTTAATTTCCAGAATGCTGAGCAATAAAGACTCTTGTCTCTACTTCCCAGCATTCTCATTGCTGTCAGTGAGGGAGGGATTATTTCTTCCTCAGTCATTTTTTTCCTGTATAGCCCAAAGTTAATATACGAAAATATAGCACAGAGCCCTACATGGATGTGCCATTATACTTGTTGATGAATGAGAGAGCTCTGTGTGAACTCTCTTTCAGAAAAGACAGCTTTTAGGGAGCACAGAAAAGGTAGACAGGGAAGGAAAACTATGTCCATTTGGATGCAGGAACAGGGTTTGGAAGTCAACTGGGGGAGGTTAGGTTCCATGTCACAAGTGTGGGCAGTATAATTTACAGCTGATGAGGGCAGACAAACAGACTCTGCTTAGGCCCCAGGCCAAGCCTTGCCTGTCGGTCCCTGGAGGCTGGTGTTCTCGTCAGCCTGTCCCTTTCTGTGCAGACATCTATTCTGACTTTAAAAGGCATGGGCTCTAAGGACAGGGGTACCGAACCATAATGTCTCTCCCCACGCATGATCCTGGAGAAGCTGCCTTGCCTTGCCCTGCCCTGCCCAGGGTGTTGGCCGGATGATGCATCTGTTTACGAGTGTGTACAGCAGCCAAGGGTGTGGACATCAGGCTATGCGATAGCCTTTGAGCATATGCTCATGCCCATCAAAGCCTTCTTCCCTGAGACTCTTGTGTTTCCAAGACAGCTGAGTGGTTGCAAATCTCTGGTTCCCTAGCAGTGATGAGTGACGCCCAGGTTTCCTGAAGCAAGAGCTAAGGAAGAAGAGGGAGGAGAAATGAGAGGGAGGGCTCTTTGCTCCACACAGACTGCTGGGTCTTTGAGACCCAGGACTGACCGCTGGAATGGCCAGTGCCAGGCAGGACATGGAAGTAGTTATTATGAACATCAGGATGGAAGTCACACACGCTGTGGTCCACAGAGGCCTTGGAGACATTGTGAGCTCTAGACGTGACCCTATTGTTTTGCACAGGCGAAGCAGAAGCTGAGATGGGCCTGACTACCCCTTCAAGGGGCTAAGTGTATAGCTCAGATTGCAGAGGCCTTGCCTAGCATTCACAAATCCCTGGGTTCCATCCCCAGCATCGTATCAACTGACTAGATAGCTAGCTCAAGACGATGTCTCAGCAAGAAAAACTCCTTTAAGAGGGCAATGGGTGATAGTGGCTTTAGCCTGGGCCTCTCTTCTGCCCAGCACGTTCCTTCCCACCATGCATCCTCTGCTTGCTCTGAGACCCAGGGGCTCTACACTGGTAGGGTAGAGACACATCACACCAATGCCAGAGCTCCCAGGCAAGAAACTTGTTTGCAAGGTGTGAGGAGGGAATGGAAGAATACCGTTCAATCACTATGGAGGGAAACGCTGAGGATCTGAGTGGCATGAACTAAGGGAGAACAAGGCAGCCACACCACATCTGCTTCATAGGCACTCGGCAGCCTCCCCCATCTCACTGACCCCCCCCCCAAGTCTCCCATGCTTGATTTCATGCTCTGCCGTTACCAACTTGAAGTTCTTAGTACTTGAGAACAAGGAACCTAATGTTTCTCTTTTGCAGGGCCTGACAAACTAGGTGGTAGTCTTGTCTATACGTTTGCCTAGAGGCTGAGGAAGGAGCCAGCCTGCCCCATAGGTTCCTCTAGCTTGAGATCTCAGGGTCACCAGCTAGTCTGTGCAGGAAGAGGATGGAGCTGAGATGCCACTTTGTACCACCTTTGAGCATCTGCTGCTAGGGCCAGAAGTCCCCAGTCTGGTAGACCAGTAGTCTTGGGGATCTCTTAACTCTAGCAACCTGCACTGGATGGAGCCGGGGACAAACGCCCTCATTTCCCACCTTTGGCGCCGACTGTAAACACTACCCCAAGCTGTTCCCATTTCTTCCCTTGCAGGAAAGGCTGGAAACAACTCTGTTCCCACCTACAACTTATCTTGGAGTCTTGGAAGGACAAGAAATAGAAAGAGGTAGAGAGAATGGGATCTTACCCCCTGACAGTGTGATGTGTTCACAATTCTTGTCTTCCTTGTCAAGCACAGCAATGCGCGTGGTGCAGATCCTCCAGAGGCCAAAGTGGGCTGCCTCACACGTTTCATTATGGTTCTCCAGGTGTGGACTCAGCAAGGCCCAGTGGTCAGTCACGACAGCCACCATGGCCAGCACTGCCCCAACCAGGATGAAGAAGAGGGTCACACGAACCTTCAGTGTTTTGGTCTGTGACATGGTGGCCACTGAGGTGTGGGTGCTCTGGGCAGGGGCAGCAGTGTCTCCCAGGGAGAGGCGACAGCCGGCTAGATGGTGGCAGTGGCTATGGATTTGGTAGTGGAAGCTAAGTTTAGTGTGCCTGGCTGAGCCAGGGTGGGCTGGCCTTGGGACTGAGAGACACTGGGCAGCAGGAGCAGCTGCCCAGACGTGTCATCGCCCTGAGGGAGGCTTCTATTAATGCCTGTCTTTAGGCGTGTCACTGAGGATGCCTTCGGCTCAGATTTCAGGGCTTTTCTCCCATTTGGGCCATCTGGGGGCTAGAAATACCCACCAGGGTGAGGGAGAACAAAAGCTCCAGATCGTGGCTTGAGAGGTCTACAGAGCAGACTTGGTGTGTGTGTGTGTGTGTGTGTGTGTGTGTGTGTGTGTGTGTGTGACAGGCTCACTAGATGTGTGGGTGTGCTACCAGGTAAGGGCAGGGGGCCCTATGAGTCACCAGGTAAGGACAGGGGACCCCACGGGTCAGCTTTCCTGTCTCACACTGCCAAGGCAGCCACCAACACCAGTGGCTGTGCGGCACTCAGGGAGCTGTCTGGAGGGCTCGAGAAGGAACTCCCACAGAGCCTACCACCCAAGCAAGCATTTTAGTGGGCAAGTCCTACATCACCCCCCTCCCGCAGGAGCCACTTCCCACTGGTTCCCAGACCTGAGCCCAGCTTGAGAAGTTACTTCTTTCTCTATTGTTATCTGCCCCTGCAACCGGGAGCGGAAGAGAAGCTCTGCATGGGGCTGACAGTCCTTGCGCTTTTTAGCTGTTTTTGTACAGTTCTCCGCAGCACACAGAGCAGCCTGCAGGGTGAGGAGGCCACGAACTAGACTGGAGCCATTTCTTTGCACCGCTTTCAGCCTTGTTTCTTGCCGGAGACAGGGAACAAAAGATTTTTCAACGCTGTTCTCTCGCCCCTTTTCTTTCTCGACTCTGTCGCGTGTAGCCCAAGCTGGCTTCAAACTTGGTATGTAACCAACGAGTCCTCAAAATCCCCACCTTCCTTGCCTCTACCTCCCAAGTGCTGGGGTCACTGGCACATGCCACCATGCCCAGTTTATGTTTTGATGCTCAAGCCAGGGCCTTGTGCGTGCTGGGCAAGGGCAATCACTCTACCACCTAGGCTATATCTCCAGGCCATGTTACTTTCAAACACAAACAGAAGGAGACTTATTCATAGGTGAATGACAGGAAACAAACAGGATGCAGATAGAGTTGGGGGGATTTGGGAAAGTTTGGGACCCCTGTCAGAGGGTCACGTGTTTCCTAGCCCAGCTCCTGAGTTTCCACCATCTCCCTCTGTCCCAGTTCAGCAGGTGGCCCTTTGTGGGTGAATCCAAGAGGCTGACACATAACTGGAACTAGGACCCCTGAGCTGGGCAGGGTGTTGCACCTCAAAATCCCAGCCTCAAGTTTATGATGCTTTTAGGAAGGCTCTCACCAGGGGGGGAGAAACATTCAGATGTGGAAACCACAGAGGGCTGACCCTGCTGATAAAAGTGATCAGAGCTCCTCTTCAGGGAGTGCTCACTATGTACACAGCCCTCTTCTGGAGACCCGCCTTCAGGTTGCCACGGTATGAATCCCAGTTTGGGAGGTGTGGCTGATGGATGCTTGTCACTGGAGGAGGGCTCTTGAGAGCTACGGTGAGAGTTAAAGCTCAGCTCTGCTTCCAGTGGGCGCTCCTCTTTCTGAGATGTAACAAGTCATGCTAAAAAGCTCTCATTGCCTGTGCTGAGCCCTGGCTGTCTAGCCGGTGCCCTCACCATCTTGAACTGTACTCTTTCAACTGTGAGCCAAAGAAATCCTTCTACCCTTCAGTCGTCACTCCGTCACTCCGGTCTGGTATTCCATCACAGACAACAAAAGCAGCCTGTCAAGTTAATCTCATTATTCCACCGGGGGAGTAAAACCATCACTCCGACTTTAGAGATAGGGACCTACAGACTCAGACACAGAGCCATTTGTCCACACAGCAGGGAGATGGAAAGCCAGCTGTCATAAACTCTTACCCTGAACTCCCAGCCAGTGGCCAGAGCTGGGAGGAATCTGCAGCCCAGAGCGGTGCACGGAGCTGGGATGATCTGATGAATAGGCCACAGCTGCCTGCATCCGAGGCTTGTGTTAGTGTAATTCCATCTGAACTGTTACTTTACAAAAGCACCTCCACCCCAGGGTATAGGAGCTCCTGTACAAACTATCTCTGTTTCTTCTCCCTGTCCCCATCTCTGCATTCTCAACGGAGCTGATCGAGTGGCCACGACTCGTGGCTGAATGTTTTGCTGACACCTGCAGTTGTCCCCACTCAGCTCAGAGAGTGTCTCTATGGAGTCTGGACTTCCCATGGAGACCTAAGACTTTGCATGGCCTTTGAGCCCCTTAAGGGGGCCGGTGCTTAGGGGACCCTTGGTGGCCTCAGGTACAGCCAGCAAGAGCCAGATGCCCAGCAAAGTAGCACTTGGAGGTGGACAGGTCTGGTGTTTGAAGACAGAGGATCTAGAAAACAAACAAAAACCACTTACCTTTAGTAATCGTGGGCTTGTATGAAGATGTATAAATACATTTTTAATTTCCTAGCACTGGGGGCACCCTTTGCTCTCCAGTACTGCCTGGGGGGGGGATGTCTTAGACTGCAGTATAGCCCAGGGGTATATCCAGCAGCAGCCAGGGTGCCACTGTAGAGCCAAGAGGGCCCAGAGCAGCTGCTTAGCAACTTCTTTCTGCATTTTCCTCTGTTGTGGGGGTGGGGGGCAGGCGTGTGTTGAGTCCTCTATCCTGGCTAGTGGAAGCATTAAACACTGATGGCCTTCTCTCTCTCTCTCTCTCTCTCTCTCTCTCTCTCTCTCTCTTTTCAGAGCAAGACTATTTTATTTACTATTTTAAAAAATTCTTATTTCTTGGCAAGAAAAAAAAATCTAATGAGTACACCAATTTTTAACTTCTTTAGGATTATCTCATTGGTTAGAAAACCATGTAGATTAATTAAAACACCTTTGATGATCGCAATGCACACGATTCATACAGTCATATTGTACAAACAAGGGGGAATTGCTTTGTTTATAAATACTGCAACTAAAGATGGCCTGTTCGTTTTGAAGCCATTTTAGCGTGTAGCACACAACTTGGCTGGCAGAGCTTCAGCAACTGCAGATGAGTTGATTCTCCTCTCTGCTAAATCTCGGCAGATACACCTTCCTTTTCTTGAAGGCCATTCACAGGCTTCCTTGGTCAACTCGTGTAGGGACTTGCCAGCCAGAAAGGGGCTCAGAAGCCAGGACGTTGCAGGGCGCCTACACTGGCCACTGTGGATGCTTCCTGGAGCGGCAGGCAGGGGAGCTTTTCACACAGGCAGCAGGTAGAGTGGGCAGCAGTTTACTGGGGACACAGTGGCCTCAAGATCACACCCCACTGGGCCGGTCTCCAGCTGTGTGGCTTCCAGCAGGTCCTGAGCCTCTCTAAGCTGCCCTTTCCTCCTCTGTGAGCACAGGGCAATGGGCCTGGAGGGAGCTGACCTAAGGATTAAGATGATGGTTTTATCAGCTTAGCCGGTGACAGATGCTATGAGCTGAATTATGGCTGCTGTAATTCACATCTGGAAGTCCTAAGCGTGACAGCGATGATATTTGGATGGTGGCGGTCTGAGGAGAGAATTGGGTAGAGCCCTCCTGATGGGATTATAAAATTCGGTCAGGGCTGCCTCAGTCTCTGTTGGTCATATATGAGTACATAGTAAAAAAAAGCAGCTGTCTGAAAGATCTGGCCATGCTAGCACCAGAATTGTGAAGGAATATATTTGAATATGTTTGAGACAACCAGCCTGTGGCATTTTGCTATATTAATAGCAGTCTGGGCAGACTAATATAGCAAACAGTTGATTCCATGTGGTATTATTTGTAGACTACCCACAGATCTATTTTTCCTGGATGGGCGAGAAACTTCCAAAAGACAACTACTGAAGCAATGGCAGGTACTCATTCTAGATTCCCTGCAATGGCTCAGCCCAGACCTGAGCCCAAGGTAGAATCTTCATAAGTAGTTATTGAGTGACTGTTGGATGGATGGATGGACTGGAAGAGACAGTAGATCATATACTCTAATCCACTAGATGATCCAAAGGAAATTTCCATTGTTTAAGGTCACAAGAACCTAAGAAAGGGCAATAGGGGTAGATCTTGTATCACTTAGATAATTTACCTTTACTTTCTGAGATGTTGTAGAGGGGACACAACAGAGATAGGCAAGCACGGGAATAGTATTGCAACTTGGGGTGCTACTTGCCTTGGGCTATGCACAGAGTCATCCTCTAATAATGCATCTTGCAACCCACAGTCCTCACCTGCATTGAACCATTGTATACCCCACTTCTCTTAGGAACTTCTTGCTGACTTCTCCTTTTGGGATGATGGAGATTAGGGCGGAGGGCATGTGGCCGATAGAGGGAGTAAATACAGAAACCACTGGGAAGAAAAGGACTGAGCCTTTAAAAACTGTACATGGTTTGTAAAAGGAAAATGAAGGGAGAGAGGTCATCAGGGGTCCGATCTTGCAGGGTCCCCAGAAATCATGTAAAAAGATAGAATATGCCAGAGTCATACGTCATGAGAATGCTGAGACCTGTTGAAGTGTTTCCCCTCTTATCCTTTATTTTTTTAATTAAAAATTTTAATTGAGCTGGGCATAGTGGCGCATGCCTTTAATCCCAGCACTCTGGAGGCAGAGGCAGGCGGATCTCTGTGAGTTTGAGGCTAGCCTGGTCTACTGAGCGAGTGCCAGGAGAGCAAGGGCTAAATAGAGAAACCCTGTCTTGAATTAAAGGCATGTGCCACCACCACCTGACTTATTTATTTATTTATTTATTTATTTATTTATTTATTTTTGGACTGTACTGTGTGTGTGATGGGGGCAGGGAAATCTCATGCCATGGCATGCAAGTAGAAGTCAGAAGGTAACCTTGTGGAGTTTGTTCTCTCCTCCCCTCTACATGGCTTCTGGGGGAGCTCAGGGGGGCAAAGCTCTCTTGGGAAACACCTTTTCCTGCTGATCCATCTCTGCAGATCGTCTCTTTTTAATTCAAGGTAGGGTTCCATTCAGGGTCCCTGAACTCACTCTGTAAACCAGGCAGGGCTTGAACCTACAATCTTCCGGGCATAGCTTCCTGAGGCA